TAATGACTTTGCAAAACAAAGGCACAATATTCAAATGAAAGAGCCATTTCTTCATGATATGACAAGTAGAATTGGCTTTTAATTTAACCTTAATGTAAATTTAAAAGGTTCAATTTTAGTTCATATTCTTTGCTTTCAGTTAAATCTTACTGTGATGTTTCTGCACAGCGCACAAGTTTATGTTGGGTGACAGTACAAATAAATTTACAGTGCAGTGAGCCAACGTATTCTTTGTTATTGTTACACACTGAGTTTGAGAGTTTTTGTCTACTCCCAGGGAATGACACCATCCCCTGCCATGTACCAGAACTCATACCAACTATCCTACTCTGCTGCAGCACTGGATGAAACCTCATTGGATGCAGAGACTGCAGAATCTGTAAATTTGGATGTGAGTGACGTTAGTTTAGACGTTGTGGAGAAGTATTTAAGTTGTGTCAGTTGTAACCAGTAATGATTTGTGACTTGTGGTTTTACTTTATTCCCTTTAGGAATGGCGAGCAGTACGTTCCCAGCAAGACGAAGAATATAATGCTTCCTTGTTGGCAGACCAAGAAAAGGTAATTTAAAAAAAAATCCTTCTATGCTTGCCAAGTTTAATTTGAGGAAAAACAAAAATGAGTCTTAAAAATATTTTGGTATTTACAGGACAGGAGGAGGCACTGCTATGAGGTTTTGGAAGAAAGGCGGACAAAAGTTGGTGCTGCCACTACATTTTTTTTTTTAATTTAAAGTGTTTTTCTAGTGTGTATGCAGTGTTTGAGTTTTTGCCCTGACAGCATCATTTACTGGTTAAAAATTTTAAGGATTGATTAAATGTTATTATTAAAAGGTTTGGGTATAGGGTTATTTCTGCCCTGTAATGGCACCAATGAGCACAGGTCAGGGAGACCTTGATACTGCTCCGTTGGGCGCTTGAAGAATTAGAACTTAAACACACTTGTCAGACACATGCTTAATTGAGAACTGATAGCATAGGCCATATTGAAATAATAACAAAAAAGATATAAATTGTTGTGCTAAAACACCTTGTCACCTATGAAGTCAGAGGCCACACTGACAGGTGGTTGAGCATTATTAGGGTTTGTTTATACATGTTATTGCCTGCCTGTCAACAGCTGGACAGTTTTTCAAAATGAGAATCATTTGAAATTGAGAAATGTATATTTGTAACCTAGCCTTAGTGATTAAATCATGATTTTTTTTCATTGTTGTATTTTTGTCCTTTTCATTTCAGGAAATACATTGTGACCCGGTAAACTTTACCCAGCCTTCAGAAGCTCCTCCCTTTGCTCAGTCTTCAATGGCTCTGTCCTCAGTCCAGGCCCCAGTTGCTCCGCCCTCTGCCCAGCCTCTAGTGGCTCTGCCCTCTGTCCAACCTCTAATGGCTCTGCCCTCTGTCCAGCCTCTAGTGGCTCCGCCCTCTGTCCTCCCTCTAATGGCTCCGCCCTCTGCCAAGCTTCTAGTGGCTCCGCCCTCTTCCCAGCCTGTTTGGATTGGTAAAGGTCTATGATTTCAGGACTGTGTGCATCACAGGGGGATTGTTGGCAATCAACATCCCCCTGTGATGTTGTTTTTTACATTAGAAAAAAAAAGGATGACAGGGTGACAAAGGATGATTTTTTACCTGTCCGCTTATGATCAGATCACTTGAATCCAAATACTAAACATTAAGCCTGTGATGACTGGGGGAATTTTTTTAACTTTTAAAAACATGAATAATTGTTCTATAGGAATTTCTGATATGAAGGTTTCTTCTTTGTTTTACTTTAGCTTTGCAGACTAGGTTATACACAGTGATTGGGAAGATGATTGCTGTGTGTGTTGTCCATGGAGGAGTTGGCCCACATTTCTTCTCTGAAAGGCTTTTTCAGCAGATCTGTGGGTTGCCAACATCCCCTGCCTCGTTGGATGAGGTTGGAGATCATACATTGAGGGAGCAACTAATCAAGGTGAGGAGATGCTTAAGAATTGAAATAAGTTAACCAGTTAATACATATTTTAAGAGAAGAACCCCCCCCGCCTGAACTAGTTTAAATCTAGACTAGAACAGTTGAGACAAAAAAAGAGCAATTAGTCATGGTTTACACAGACATAATGGATTCAGTTCCCATCCTTGAGAGCATTCCCTCTGTCCATATTTGTGTTGGTGTTTTATTATTTTCTGTGCGCAAAGCATAGTGATTCCATGCCTCTTTGAAGTGCTGAAGTCTACTTTGTATATGTGGAAGAAAAACTACGTGGAGTGAAAGTTTGTGAATGTCATTCCAAAAGTTCAGAATCCTCAAGACTGTAGAACATGCTATAGATTGGTTGCAATACGTGTAAAAATACGTCCCTCCACAAACGCTCAATTCTTTGGTTGTGGACCGATTCACCGGTGATGTGACTCCGGCGCTGAAGTCCTAGTACAAGGTTCATGAAGAAGACCACTTGTAAGTTCTCACCTCCATGCATGAAAGCATATATACCCCCACTTTATTAGTATTTAAATAGTATATATTTACGTTGAACTTTATTCTTGAACAGAAGGCGCTGTATTAAGCAGTATATAAAAAGTGTTTCTGTTGCTCATGAAAACGTTTCTGAAACGTCTGTGTATTTGACAAATATTGCATTTAATTCACTTCATCTGTGATAGAGTATGCAAACACCGCGCGAGCGTCACTGACGGGAGCAGAAAGTGTCCGGCTTGACAGCTCCGTTTTCAAGCATCAATCAAGATGGCGGAGAAAACTCTAATTGACTGCCGTAACCACGGACACAAAAGTTATACCACAATTCATGCACAGTCATGTCAACCAGATCATCGTGTCATGTGTGCTAAAGTTTTTGTTTTTGGAGAATCATAATATCTCTTATCTGTTGTATTTGAGCAGGACAGGGATGCACTTTGGTGACACATAAAACAAATTCCCAACATTATGTCTTTCCATCATTTCCATCATGTTTGATGTGCTTGCAGATCACAAGCATTTCCTAATTTCACTTCAGAATTTTTTGTTATACCTAATCTTTTGTTATATTTTTTATACTGTCATCATTTGTAAAGTATATATATATATTTACTTTCCTTTACCTTTACCAAATTTACCTGTATTTACTTTGTTTTCATCTTTGGCGACTTTTTGTGAAAATGGAGACTTTTGAGGGTGGTTCTAGAGATTTTCTGAGGGAGGGGTTTGGCAACACTGCCCCAGAGCATGAGCACGAGTACGAGCACGCCCATGGACGTGTTTCATTCATTTCATTCGGGTTACTGAAGTCGTCGGCAGCGCTGCACAGAATTTGCTCGAGAAGCATTTGTCGTTTTGTTTCTAGATCACGAAAATCAACAATGCCACCAAAGAAGTGTGTTTTTGGTTGTGAGGGAAAGATAGCTCTGTTAAGCTTCCCAAAGAACCCAGCCGTAAGGGAAGTGATGTAGCTTGTTCCTCTGGGGCAGCAAGTGTCTTTGTTTGTTCCCGGCATTTCGGTGACGATTGTTTTATAAACAATCGTCATAAAAACAAATCGTTCATAAAAAAAAAGCTGCGCGTGCTCGTGACTCTTTAGCTCCGCCCACGGCACGCCTCCAGCAGCTTGACTGCTTTCGGAGATAATTGTAAAGCTGTATGTCTTTTATAAATCTGAGAAAACTAAAGACTCTTCAGAGATATGAATGCAATACTACTATATAGGTACATCAGATTGGCAGAAATTATGTGTGTTATGTCCGCTTTAAGAGGTTATTTAACACAGTTTTAAAGAACATTTTCATTCATTTAAATTCTGGAAGGTTTGAACAATCTAAAGGGAAAAAAAAAAGAAATAAGAACATTCTTAAGAAGTGTTTTGGGGGAGGGGTGTGAGAGGGGAATGCAAAATATTCTTTGTATATTCTATTCAAAATATATATTCAGTATGACCGTAAGTATAAGCGTTCTAGAGCACTTAGTTCCGGTTAGTTCTAGTCAGTCAGCTGTAGCGCAGAATGAGAATTTGCTTCAACTTTAAAGAGATTAAGAAGTTATTGACATTTATGGCTAGGTCGTGACTAGACCATGCGTCATGCTGTGTAGAAAGCGATCAGAAAGACATTGGTGCCCTCAAGGAGGAAGTCGTGGGAAACCAAATTTAGATAGGCTACATTACATTCACTATCTAATCTTCTAAACATACTCTATGCCCATATTGTATATATCTGTGTAATTTAAAAGCTGGGTCTGTTTTTGTCCATATCAAAACATGACTTAGTGTCAGAATAGTGTACCATATTGTAGCTAAATAAGGCATCTAGGTTTTATAGTGATATCAAGATCAAATCTCTGGAGAATCCTGTGTGGTTTATAAAAGACAGACTACCTGTAAATATTCCTAGGCCTTCTGATTTGTCTGGGGCACCTGTTTTAGCTGGGTGTTTATCTGGGAGGATTTGAACAAGCAGGTGAAATCTTGAGCCTCTTGCCAGGTCTTACAGATTTGTAAAGTGTAAACCACAGCAGTCCATCACAGCACACATGCATAATCACATTTCTGACAACACTTCACCACAACTTCAGAACCAACCCAAAGAGGATACCTGATTCCAGATTCTAGATGATCTAACTTTTCTGCTAGTGCACGCTAGTTTCCTTCCAAATATTGTGGTGTTTTTAGATTAGCACCATTCTGTCAGTGATGATATGTTTTAGATCAAATAAACTGCCACAAGTTAAATACTGCCTGTTCAAAATTAAGCTCAAAGTCAGCACTTAATGTGCAGAGAGCTCCAGTATAACTATGACAATACTGGAGTCATATACAGCTGAATTATTGAACAATTGTTTTTCAAGTCAGGTCTACTGTAAATCTAATGTACTTACAAAATGAAACATGTCATTGAGCTTAATCTCATCCTTACAACTAGACAGAATAATTTTTTTTATGTCAGGCAGTATGCTCACAAGACAGTCTGCAAATACAGTTTTGCCTTATGTTAATTAATATGAAGAAACTGTGATGAAACTTTTACAGGCAGTTTTGAAAGCTGTTTTTAATTAGGAATTAAAAAAAGAAGCATCAGTAGTGAGAAAACATTTTCATACAAGACTTGCACAACCGAATATTTACTATGCGACAAAACAGAAGCTGTGGCTTTTTGTGAAGACGTTCATGGATATGGGGATTTCCACTCTGGTTTCCTGTAAGCATCTTGGCCTGGAGTGGCTTTATACTAACTCAAATCCATAACATGCTTCTTTACCAGATAGACAGTTACTGCTCCTACACCAGTTTTATCGTGCCTTACTGTTGCATGTGTGGTCCTGTCACATTGTCTGCAAAGACTTCAGTGGTTTAGGTGATAAAGTAGCTGAGTTCAGTTTCACACCATCCATCCACAGTTACAACTCACAGCCTCATGCAACTGAGCCAAGAGTATGACTTTCAAATAAATATAAAAGGTAAAGACAAAGCCAATATACATTCTAGATAAACATTAGACTCTTTCCACAATTAGGGTCGATTCACTCATTTCTCATAAATTAATACATTTTTGGTTTAGATTTTCTTTTCTTTCTTTTTTAAGAGGAAAAGGGTATGAATTAGCTTACTTTGGTTTCCCTGGTGCTTTAGAAAAGGTCCAAATGAGGTTACTTCTTTGGTCTTCATCTACATATTACATTTTTGGTCATTTAGTTAAATTAGTTTAAAATTAAAAATAGTTCAAAATGTGATTCGTGTCTCTAATACTCTAATAAAAACAGCACAAGACAAATGTAATCTGGATTTGTGTTAACATTAACATGACAAAACTAATTTCTGCTTAAAAAAACAGAGCATAAATTAGACTGTACAAGCTACGGTGGATTGGTGCCATCACTGTTCATCTTTTCAGAGCACTTGTACAGTCATTTTTATTTGCAAGATAAGCCTATACAGCATTTCCACTCCTGTTAGATTCAATTGCTGATAAATCAAACAATACAAGACGGGAGTTCTCTAGAATCATTAGTTTTTTCTTGAGTGTTTTAATTAGGATATGTCGCTGCTCACTTGCTCATCTTCTGTCTCTTTGCTTGACAGTAGCGTAAAGGACCTTCTCTGAGCTGACAAGTTCTGATGCAGAGACATTTACAGCGTCGTTATTTAGAAGAACTGATTAGGGAGTAGATTAAAAAAAAAAAAAAACATGAGAAAAATGTCTCACGAAAGAGAGCGATTGTGTCACATGATGTACAGTATAAGCGAAACAGTTCAAAATTCTGTAATACAACATAACTGACATAATAAAATTACCTTCATTGTCATGGCAGTTGTGTGACTTAAAAACAACTGATGCATAGGTTATGTCAGCATTTGTTTCTCCTGAAAGAGCAAGGAAAATTATTAATAATGTAAGTTACTATTTAGTAATTAAAGCATTTCTTGAGATTACTCAATCACAAAATATCCAGACTCATTCTAGACCACAGCAGGCATTAGTTTATATAACAATATAGTTTATAATGAGAAGTAAGATTTACCATCCACATCATGGCAGTAGTGAGATCTGTGGTTGACTGATTCATTGACTGTTTGTCCTTAGAAAAGAGAAGATTCTTATTTTTTTACAGTTATTAACAAAACGATATGGAGATTTAAGGCACACTTTCTTACGTGTCTTGGCAGAATAACCAAAGATGTATAGTTCTGATCAGTTTCTGAAGGTTACATTGATGTATGTTGCCGTTCAGCAGTGGAATGAATACAAAAAGTTTCTGAAAGAGCAGCTCAAATAATTTTTTCATGTGCTCTTTTAAAATGCCACTTGTTTTAACAGGCTTCTCAGTTAACCATTCCAGAAAGACTTGATCACATATGTATTGATTAAAGATGACATATAATTACTTTCACCAGCATTTATAACTAGCTTAGCATATTTATTTACATTTATACTGTTTGCTTTAACATCATAGCAGTAGTCAGACTCACGTTTTGTCCATGTATAGTAAACACACACAGAGATCAGACAGGGCAGCAGAAATCCTCCTCCTCCTGCAGCTATGAGCTGCCAGTTACTGAGCAGTGAAAACTCGACAGCAGCCAGACCTGATCAAATCATAAAGATGACTGAGATATAAGCCAGCATAAATTCATCCACTTCATAACACTATATCAGGTTTCTACTGCCGATAGTCTATTAATGTCCTTGTAAAGAGGTATAATTCACATACTCACTGATTTCTATCTCTTTATAGCCCAGAGAACAGTTGAAGTCTCTGTATAGTTGACAGCGGTAGAGACCCAGATCAGAGAGCCGCACATCTCTAATCAGGATGGAGAAGTTTTCAGAGGCAGCAGCATCACGGAATCCATTAATTCTATTGTGTCTGTTATTCCAGACGCTTATCTGACCATTTACTATGATCTCTAAAATGTAGTCAACTGTTTTATTAATCTGAGTCCACACAGCACTTGAATTCATGGTCAGGTCTGATCCAAAGAGAGCTGGTTCAAAAAGGCACGGCAGCAGGACTTTAGATTGCAGTTCTGTGGTTATATAGATCTTTGTAATGAGCTTTTCTTTAATACACAAACCATGACCTGTGTGAAGAATTGGACATAGACAAGAGCTTGATGAAGTAGAAAGAAAAAAAAAATTAAATACATGATGCAATTAAAACAATATAGGTTACAGTACAGATAATAAACATAAGAAAATATATAAATAACATCATTTTCACTGAAGCATTCAGAGAATTTACTGACCTCTGCCATACACAAGACAGCAGCAGCAGCACAACATCCACACAGCAGAGAAATACAGTCCAAACAGCTTCATGGTCTCATCTGATCACTGAAGCTGCAACAGAAAAGAACAACAACACTGAGTTCAAGGCGGTGAGGTGAGAATTTGTTGAGCATGTCACTTCCTGAAAAAGTTGAAAAAAAAAGTAGACTACTTTGTAAAACCACAGTGAACAATTGGTTTATGGAAAACAATTTTCTTTCTTTCTTTCTTAATAATTTAAAACAAAGCAAACAACAAAAATACTAAGGTATAATGCTGTTCAAGAAGTTTATGCATTTTACCATGGTTTTCAATCTTCATTTCACAAAAACCACCTCATACCAGCAGTCAAACAGTGATGTTTATCTACTTCTTGCCATTGCCTTGCCATTAAAGGAACTATGATTCTGTTCTCTATACAGGAGAAAGTAAAGCTGTCTGTGTACTGCAGCTGAAGCACAGCTGGCTCATGCAGCAAGACAATGATCTGAAACCTATTAACAGGTCTCAGAATGGTTTGAAAACAAGACACATTATGTTTTGGAAACCACACTTAAACCCCACTGAAATGCAATGGCAAACCTGAAACATGCTGTTCATGCTCCAAAAGCCTACACGCCACTGAGTTGGAGTGAGCCACCGCAGCGTGAAACATGCATACATTTTTTTTTAGGAGAAAAGGGTATGAATTAGCTTACTTTGGTTTCCCTGGTGCTTTAGAAAAGGTCCAAATGAGGTTACTTCTTGGGTCTTCATCTACATATTACATTTTTGGTCATTTAGTTAAATTAGTTTAAACTTAACAATAGTTGACAAGATACAAAAAACACATCACAAGGATTTGTGTTCACATTAACATGACAAAACAAATTTCTGCTTAAAAACAGAGCATAAATTAGACTGTACAAGCTACGGTGGATTGGTGCCCTCACTGTTCATCTTTTCAGAGCACTTGTACAGTCATTTTTATTTGCAAGATAAGCCAGCATTTAAACACACATAAATAACTACTGGAAATGTTCGTTTGCAGTTATTGCTGCTAATTAGGTTGTAACCAGTTACTGGGTGATTTAAAGGAAGCAACCACACTGGAGCACTGGGTGTTAGAACTTTCTTTAATAAATACATAAAAGATGCATCCCATTTTAGTTGTTCACGTGTCAGTTTTATGCATCCATAGTTTTTGCTTGGGAAAAAAATGCAGAAAAAAAAGTCCGGGAATAAAATAAAAACCATTAAAAAATGTTAACTAAAAAACATTAATTAAAATAAATATAAAAATAAAAAAAATTCAAAATATTAATAAAAACTATAACAATATTACTGGCTAACATAACATTACAGTACCTGGCTAACACCAGTGGACCAAGTCTTTTCAATATATATATATATATATACTTGTTTGGACTTGTTTGTTCAGCACATCCCACAGATGCTTGATTGGATTGAGATCTGGGAAATTTGGAGGCCAAGTCAACACCTCAAGCTCGTTGTTGTGCTCCTCAAACCATTCCTGAACCATTTTTTGCTTTGTGGCTTGCTTTAAAAGAGGCCACAGCTACCAGGGAATCCCGTTTCCATGAAAGGGTGTACATGGTCTGCAACAATGCTTAGGTATTTGGTACGTGTCAAAGTAACATCCACATGGATGGCAGGACCCAAGTTTTCCCAGCAGAACATTGCCCAAAGCATCACACTGCCTCCGCCGGCTTGCTTTCTTCCCATAGTGCATCCTGGTGCCATGTGTTCCCCAGGTAAGCGATGCACACGCACCCGGCCATCCACGTGATGTAAAAGAAAACGTGATTCGTCAGACCAGGCCACCTTCTTCCATTGCTCCGTGGTCCAGTTCGGATGCTCACGTGCCCACTGTTGGCACTTTCGGTGGTGGACAGGGGTCAGCATGGGCACCCTTACTGGTCTGCGGCTATGCAGCCCCATACACAACAAATTGCGATGCACTGTGTATTCTGACACCTTTCCATCAGAACCAGCATTAACTTTGTGAGCAATTTGAGCTACAGTAGCACATCTGTTGGATCGGACCACACGGGCCAGCCTTCGCTCCCCACGTGCCGGTTCACCACTGTTCTTTCTTTGGACCACGTTTGATAGACACTGACCACTGCAGACCGGGAACTCCCCACAAGAGCTGCAGTTTTGGAGATGCTCTGACCCAGTCATCTAGCCATCACAATTAGGCCCTCGTCAAACTCGCTCAAATTCTTACGCTTGCCCATTTTTCCTGCTTCTAACACATCAACTTTGAGGACAAAATGTTCACTTGCTTCCTAATATATCCCAGCCACTAACAGGTACCGTGATGAAGAGATAATCAGTGTTATTCACACTATTCAGTGTATATATATATATATATATATATATATGGTTCAATTTCTTAGCTTCATAAATGCAACATAAAAATAAATGAAAATAGTTTTTAAATGGTTAAAAAAAAAATGTAGTGCTTGCATGAAACCAAAGTTAGAAAAGGGTAAAATTTATTGTTAAAAAATAAAATAAAATGTGGATCAGATCATTAGAGGCATTTGAAAATTTTGAGTATTTTTTTCTGCAATTTTGTTTCATTTGAATAGCTGGTGAAACTGAGCACATCCCACTTTAGTTGTTGTTACTTTAGCACATCACACTTATCACCACAAACGGCCTTCTGTCTGCCTCTTCTGCCACAAAACCAATTCACTGGTAACTATTGAAAGCAGAAAAACAACACTTAAGACCTAGTTCACACTGCTAGACACTGGGAACACAGATAAGTAATCAGAAGTGACCAAACTTTTTGTCTTTGTCCGATACATTTCTGTATTTCACAGTTCATTGTGATGAGCCTCACGTTGGAACAATTAACACATTAAAAATTAAGCAAACAAAATCTGCATTCTTTGCTATTCACTCAAATGATGAAAATATTGAAGAAAATTGTAATTTGAAGACAGTAAAATTAAAGCCACGTAACTTCCTGTTTTTTAGTCTGGCTATATTTTATATACCAAACTCGTATCCCTAGTATTTGTAATACTGAAATATGATATACACTGTTTGGTTTGTAGAGGCAGACAGGTAAAAATGAGAGACTTAAGTAAAAACTTCAAAGGATAATTACTTAAATATGACATAAAAATGATCAGTGTCTAACAGCAATTGCACACTTGAGTTCATCTGCTCCTGTTATTCCAGAATCTCCAGCAGGTGTTTACTGTCTGATGAGTGGGACTGCATGCTCTGGAGCAGGGGTCACCACTCAGTCCTGGAGTCCTGCAGAGTTTAGCTCCAACCCTAATTAAACACACCTGAATCACCTAATCAAGGTCTCACTAGGTATGCTTGAAACTTCCAGGCAGGTGTGTTGAGGAAAGTTGGATCTAAACTCTGCAGGACATCGGCCCTCCAGGACCAAGTTTGGTGAACCCTGCTCTGGAGGGTAACATGGTTCAGAGTATCATGAGCAGTGTTGCCAAACCCCTCCCTCAGAAAATCTCTAAAACCACCCTCAAAAGTCTCAATTTTTCACAAAAAGTCGCCAAATATGAAAACAAAGTAAATACAGGTAAAATTGGTAAAGGTAAAGGAAAGTAAATATATATATATACTTTACAAATGATGACAGTATAAAAAATATAACAAAAGATTAGGTATAACAAAAAATTCTGAAGTGAAATTAGGAAATGCTTGTGATCTGCAAGCACATCAAACATGATGGAAATGATGGAAAGACATAATGTTGGGAATTTGTTTTATGTGTCACCAAAGTGCATCCCTGTCCTGCTCAAATACAACAGATAAGAGATATTATGATTATCCAAAAACAAAAACTTTATTCATACAAACTTATTTCAGTCAACACACTCTATTACTACAAAGTAAGTGCAAAATACTGCATCCCAGCACACATGACACGATGATGCACTGTGTCTCTCTCTCAGTATCTGGTTGACATGACTGTGCATGAATTGTGGTATAACTTTTGTGTCCGTGGTTAAAACAAGATGTTCATGCACTGAGTAGTTGGTGCCCTAATGTAATCAGAAGAACACTGAGAAGATCAAAGGTCTGGACTCTCAGGTGGTTTTGCCTGGGCATGAGCGTGGGTTTGCTCTGTTGAGAAATGCTTGCGAGCGTTCTCTCCCAGTGTGTTTCAGTGACATAGAGTGATTATGGGGAATGTTCCTTCCTGTGTTATGCCGGATGGGTTTAGGAGTGGGCTGCCTCCCCTGCCTCCTTGAGGTTTTTAAGTATAGTGGTCTCTGAGCCCCTTGCCTAGACTGTGCTGTCTGCCCTGTTTGGATATTGTATATAGTATATATATTTTTTTTGTTTTGTTTTGTTTTGTTTTTTCTCTTAAAATTCTTTGATTTTTATATATTTAAAAAAAAAATCCCCCTCATAGCATATCTATATAGTATAAAGCAGGGCTGTCAAACTCAGTTCCTGGAGGGCCACAGCCCTGCACAGTTTAGATGCAACCCTAATTAAACCCTAATAGAGCCAGCTAATCAAGTCATTAAGGCTTATTTGAAAACTACATGGTATAAGCAGAACTCTGAAGGGCTGCGGCCCTCCAAGAACTGAGTTTGACATCCCTGGTATAAAGTAAATGTGTGCTTACCTCATCTAAAACAGGCAAAGAACATCTTCATTGGGATCATTCTTCTCCTCATATGATGCCAGTGTCCCAACCTTCTCGATTACATCATGTGGAAGTCTGTAATCCCAACAAGATTTGCCACAAGCCAAAAGTCCATATCTTATGTGAAGAATGGAGTTCACAGTTCCGAGAGATAGAGGATTCCGGAGTTTGTTTTTTTTACAACGTTTAACTGACTGAAGACTCTCTCCACGTCTGCATTACTGTATGGGAGTGCCAGCATTGTCAGAGCTAGGTTACACAGCTCTTTAAAAGGACTGTCACCTGCTGCGTCTCTGTACATGTGCACTTCAGTCGACAGTTTCTCCGTATTGTCCACATTTTGCCAGTGTACATAGGGCAGATTTTGCCATTGTCTCTCAATTTTCCCAATTTCTTCTGCAGAGGTCACAAATGCTTCAGCCAGCTCAACAATTGAAGGTTTTGAGGGAGTCAGAGCATGACAAGCTGATATGTGTTGACTTTCTTTAATATCGCAAAATTCTCCGGTAAGCTGTGTTTTATTTCTTCAAGAAGGAGAATGGTAAATTTTGTGCAGCGCTCTTTGATTGCAGTTTCTGCTGCTTCTGGCACCGTCTCTTCTCTCATTGCTCTTTCAACCTCGTATCCAAGTCGTGGATGAAAATCCAGGTATGGTGTAATGTCCTCTGTTAAAAAGTCCACATTTGTGTCGGGAGATGTCACACTCCGGCCAAGTGAACTAACAAGACGTTCAAGTCCATCGTTCAGCAGAGTCGGGTCAGCTGTTTTAGCCTGAAAAGTTTTGTTCACCGCTTGTACTTCTAATAGCGATTTCCTGATTTATAGCATAAATGGCCTGCTCTGGGGGTCACTGTAGAGACGGTAGAGTTCCTCTGGCATAAAACAGCGTTCCGTTTCCCGTACTACTCCAAAGAGCATTTTTAATTCCAGCCACTGTTCTAGTATTCTCCGCACAGCAGGTTCCACGCATATCCATTTTGTTGCACATGACTTTACTATTTTGAGTGGCTCTTCACCACCATTAATTGCAGCATACACAGCTTTGTATGTAATTTGCCTTGAGGCACTGCGAGCAAACCAATTATATGTCTCTCTGACTAAGAAATCCAGAAACTTCGGCAATGTCTTCTCGTAAGCACGAGAAACAGCTAGAACTAGACTGTGACAAACGCAACGCACTAAAGTTGAGGAATTTCTTTCTTCAATTTTGCATACACGCCATTATTTATTCCGGTGTTGTGCCGAATTCTGCACCCCTGCCAGATTATGCACCCCCTTGTTGAAGTCGCTAACTGATTGCCTAATCCCAACCCCACCCCTAATCATAACCCCTCCACCACACCTACTCCTAAACCTACCAATACTAGGGGGTGCATAATCTGGCAGGGTGCAAATTTCGGCACTACACCATAGACTGTAAAAAAACATGGACGTAGTGTCTGTGACGTCACCCGTTGAATTCTGAAGAGCTTTTTTGAAGCCCAAAGTGGGCGGAGCCGGTCGTCGCCATCTTGGCAGCGCGTCACTCCCGGATAATCGAAAATGGGCAAAGAGGCGGGACGTGGGTGGCGCTGAGGTGCTCAAAGTGTTCACTGCACAGACGAGAAGCCTTTTTAGGAGTCCAATTCTGTCGTTTCACGTTGAGCATCCACTGGTCTAGTCTGAGAGGGTCTGGATCACCTAGAGGAAAACTTTACACTGGCAAATAGATAGTTACCTTGCATTAAGACAGTGTTTTTCAAAGACCAAACTCTGAAAACACGTTATTAACAAATCATACTTATGTGCAGACAAGCAGATGAGTCCAGGATAAGAACGCAACGCGCGTTTAGCGTTTTCCTCCCATAGAAAACCGTTATAAGGTCCGGTGTTGTGCCGAATTCTGCACCCCTGCCAGATTATGCACCCCCTTGTTGAAGTCGCTAACTGATTGCCTAATCCCAACCCCACCCCTAATCATAACCCCTCCACCACACCTACTCCTAAACCTACCAATACTAGGGGGTGCATAATCTGGCAGGGTGCAAATTTCGGCACTACACCATAGACTGTAAAAAAACATGGACGTAGTGTCTGTGACGTCACCCGTTGAATTCTGAAGAGCTTTTTTGAAGCCCAAAGTGGGCGGAGCCGGTCGTCGCCATCTTGGCAGCGCGTCACTCCCGGATAATCGAAAATGGGCAAAGAGGCGGGACGTGGGTGGCGCTGAGGTGCTCAAAGTGTTCACTGCACAGACGAGAAGCCTTTTTAGGAGTCCAATTCTGTCGTTTCACGTTGAGCATCCACTGGTCTAGTCTGAGAGGGTCTGGATCACCTAGAGGAAAACTTTACACTGGCAAATAGATAGTTACCTTGCATTAAGACAGTGTTTTTCAAAGACCAAACTCTGAAAACACGTTATTAACAAATCATACTTATGTGCAGACAAGCAGATGAGTCCAGGATAAGAACGCAACGCGCGTTTAGCGTTTTCCTCCCATAGAAAACCGTTATAAGGAAAACGCTTACATGGCTTAATGCATTAAAACAGTGCTTGTCTGTACATAGTATGATTTATTAATCATGTTCTCACTGAGTTTCGTCTTTTAAAAACAGTTTTAATCGGTTTTAATTCATTAAGCCACGTTAAGAGTTTTTCTTATAGCCTAACGGTTTTCTATGGGAGGAAAACGCTTAACGAGTAACGTTAATTACAGGCCTAACGTTACAGCTAATCACAGTCTGTCGGATTCTGGAGTGTAGCAGAGTTTTGAATAAAATTATAAAGAATAAATAAATAGATAAAATTACATTACAATATCACTCACCGGAAAAAATGGATCCCAGACTTGGACGGTCTGTTAGTACAATTAACCATTTATTGGACATTTTATTTGATAATTTTAAGAAATAATCACGAAAATAACCCATAGACTGAATAAAACAAAAGCAGAAACAGGGCAGAGATGCCAAGTCAGCGGCTGATAGAGACAGCAGCGTCAATCCACCTGTCACTCAAGTGGCCACGCCCTTAATTATGCAGAATTTTAAGGCTTAATATAATTTAAATGGATGAGTTATAAAAAAAAAATTGTCCCCTTCACTGTTGTCATGAAGGGCAAAATTAGCTATATAGACCAAAATCATTTTTTGAACCAGGCTGTAAACGTTTTTTTTTGCTGTAAAGTTGGGCATTTTAACACGGGGAGTCTATGGGATTGACTCCCTTTTGCAGCCAGCCTCTAGCGGTCAGTTGACGAATTACAGTTTAAGTCACTTCCGTACTGGCTTCACGAGAGAGAGCGGGAGGTTGCCGTCGCATACACCTGTCATTACTGATGCATTATCAGTTCCTAGTCCTGACATCATCTTTATATCTAGGCCAAGAGAGGACAGGCAAGACTTCAACGAGTTAACGATTCCGTCTGCTGTGAAGTTTTCTAGCTCCACTGCTGCAAGTAACGGCTGATAACGCAGTTTCGAGACAGACTGAAGTAGCGGATCACAATGCCCATCATTTTTTATACAGAAATGTCATTTGATTCGTCTATTAAAAGACTGAAGGGTCCCTCGCCAATGTCTGCCACAAATTCACTGACAAAGTGGGGGGCAATCACATTTTTTATTATGGCAGTGCATTAGGTCCTGTGTCTTTAAAACGTGCTTTGCATAAATCTGATAAGAGGTCAACACTACTGATTGATCCGTGTTCAGCAACGTAAAGTGCTAAAGAACATTCCGTTTCCGCAACAGAGATTTCTAGTTAATGCAAACGAGTCCATATACGCACCTGCCTTTGATCAGAAAAAGGCTCTGCACACGCCATGTGCTTGGAGGTCAGTGAATGTTTAATGAGATCTGACTTCTTAGCATTTTGTATGACTTTGCAATATTTGCAAAAAGCTTTTGATGCATTTCCCATAATAGGCTGAAGCCAGTCTTTAAATGCAGGTTCTTGCAACCAGCAATTTCTAAAGTGCTGCTCATATTTTTTCTCCGCCATCTTGATTGATGCTTATAATGAAATTGTGGTGTGCGTCATGGCAGGCGTGGCGTACTGGTGTGTTCACTGCGCAGACTCATTGGCATGATTGAGAGCAAACGTGAGAGGTCACGGACCTACGGCAGGGTGTGGCCAAGTAAAAAATAAAAAAATCTCCAAAAAAATCGCTAGTTTTATTTAAGTATAGCTAAAATATTATTAATATTTTTTGCGACAAGGAGCTATATAGGATTTGATTAAAATATCTGGATTAAGTTGTCTAATATTACTGCACGTTCTTTTGTTCCCTGTTTTTATACAGTCTGTTTGTTCCCCGAAAAGGGTAGATGTATCGATACTCGAAACCACGATCAGCAATGCAGCGATTGGCTGGCGGTGAGACAGCAACGTAATGACATCATATAATTAAAAAAGACACCTGACGAAAAACTTGACAAATTTCTGGAAACGGCCAAGTGCTAAAAGGTTGAAAACCCGTGATCTACAGTGTAGGAAGCTAAAGGTTTTTGGGTTAAGGTTCATAATGTAGAACATTTTTAACATTGTATGCTATATGTGCATAAATTAATATCAGACATTTTTTAAGACCAAGTAGAGGGAGTGGTCATAGTGAAACATCCAAACATTTAGTATCTCTGAAAAGCCCTGAATGTGCTCTGTACAGGACATCCAGACTTAAAACTGTGGCATGTATAGTCTCAGAGAAATTCACCAAAATATAATGTCCTCATATGAGGTCACAGGATCTCGGGAGGCTAGAGCAGTTCACATTGAAAACTATTCCAGAGTGACTTGAATTGAATCAGCCTTGCTCAGAATCATATTGTCATCACACATCGGGTCTTTTACTTGTTTTGTTTATAATGTCTTTACAATATGTAGCTTTCACTACATTTACTGTATTGTAGTAGCATATGTGTTGTATGAATTGTCTTACATCATTATGGTTTGTCTCATAGCAGTAGTCAGACTCACGTTTTGTCCATGTATAGTAAACACACACAGAGATCAGACAGAGCAGCAGAAATCCTCCTCCTCCTGCAGCTATGAGCTGCCAGTTACTGAGCAGTGAAAACTCGACAGCAGCCAGACCTGATCAAATCATAAAGATGACTGAGATATAAGCCAGCATAAATTCATCCACTTCATAACACTATATCAGGTTTCTACTGCCGATAGTCTATTAATGTCCTTGTAAAGAGGTATAATTCACATACTCACTGATTTCTATCTCTTTATAGCCCAGAGAACAGTTGAAGTCTCTGTATAGTTGACAGCGGTAGAGACCCAGATCAGAGAGCCGCACATCTCTAATCAGGATGGAGAAGTTTTCAGAGGCAGCAGCATCACGGAATCCATTAATTCTATTGTGTCTGTTATTCCAGACGCTTATCTGACCATTTACTATGATCTCTAAAATGTAGTCAACCGTTTCATTATTAATCTGAGTCCACACAGCACTTGAAGTCATGGTCAGGTCTGATCCAAAGAGAGCTGGTTCAAAAAGGCACGGCAGCAGGACTTTAGATTGCAGTTCTGTGGTTATATAGATCTTTGTAATGAGCTTTTCTTTAATACACAAACCATGACCTGTGTGAAGGATTAGAAATGGACAAGACTGATATAATCAAAGACAAAAGCACACTTTAAAGGGTGCAATAAAAGAAATGTAGAGCTGATAAACATTTGAGAGAATTTACTGACCTCTGCCATACACAAGACAGCAGCAGCAGCACAACATCCACACGGCAGAGAAATACAGTCCAAACAGCTTCATGGTCTCATCTGATCACTGAAGCTGCAGGAGGAATGTGCATTGTGGTGTGAAATTGTCACTTCCTCACACATCGAACAGGAAGTGTTCACAAATGCATAATTAACAATACAGAATAATTGTCTTCACATATGAAGGTGAATGTGTGAATTCTGCTTCAGACAGTTTTTTGATTCATCCAAACAAAAAATCTAATATTGGCATGTACACCTGTATACAGTATAAGCAAAAACTCTTGATATTTCTCAGTATTTACCTCAAGCCAGTCAGACTTCACCCTTACAACAGCTATAGTCATACACCTTAGATTTGATCTGACATTTTATCTAAATTTGGAAAAATTAAGAATGTGGTCATTTATGTTTTTAGCAACATGGCAGTAATATTTCAATAATTGGAATTGCAATTATTCTCAAGCTTTGACTCAAATCATGACTTACAGTACATTACCTTCAAAGTATATTTTTATTCAGTTCTTGCATTCCCTGGGAATCAAACCAGTAATGTTAGCATTGCTAGCACTGCGCACTACTGTTTGAACGACAAGAATGCTCACCTGAAGGACTCTGAAAAAAAAGTTATATTAAAGACGCAGGGTGCACAGGCAGTACATAATGTGTCAAATTCTATATTAAATGTAACATGTTTTAGTTGCACTCAGTTGCTGTAGTGCTGTTGGGGAACTTAAACGAAAGGTTCACCCAAAATTGAAAATTCTGTAATCTTTTATTCACCCTCATGTTATTCCAAGCCAGTATGTGAAATCTTCTTTTTCAAAATATCTTGGATTTTTCTGGCAGCTGATTGGAAAGAAACACAATAGAGACAGGAGATACAGCGCTGTTTGTTTCAGAGAGGTGGAGCTCTGTTCTACTTTATTGATTGGTCTGCACATTTCTCATCCACTACTGAGGAGACAGAGTGATACAAACACTGGATTTCAAAATCAGGGGACAAGTAACTTTTTTTTTCAAGTCTTGATTCAGAACGGACCAGAAAAAAAAGTCACCCTTGCAAAGCTGAATTGTAAAATATACTGACGTGATGAGCTATTTAAATTTTCTTTAAGATTAAAGTTTCACCATTTCTGTCAATGCCATTGTAAACACTTGACATCCCGTTAAAACAGGATGAATATAACATTGATGCTGAAAATTACAGAAAAAAAGTGGAAAATATCCAAATATGAGCTCAACATTTTTAGGAATCTGAAGAAAATGAATCCATCATATTTAAGTAAAGATCAGACTGGTGGTGTTATTCGAACAAAGCAGAAGCACATGAAGTGGGAAAAGGCAGGATCAAGAGATGCCTTCAGATATCAGGGACCTCCATTAGCTTTCATCACATTGAACTATTTCTGCAAGTAACTAAAACTGAGCTTATTTCACTTTCAGACAGAGATATTCAGATCTCTGAGCGCGAGCTGCTGAGATAAATGGTACCGATTTATCAGCTTAATAAAAAAAAACTAGGTCAGATTTCCAAGAATTGAAAATGCAGATGGAGTAAGAGACTGAAACATGAATATATCTGAAAGCATTCCAGGCCTCTGCATGACATTGAATAACTTTGCAGTTATTGAATAAGATTGCAGGTAGTATGATCTTACGTTTCTCAAAATTACTAAGGAAAAAAAGTGCAACAATGGTGCAGAGATGCATCAAGTTTGGTACTTCCTATTTTTATCTTTGTATTTTTGTTTTGCGGTTGACAGAATATACACGTTATACGTGCTCCTTTATGATTAGTAAAAGAGGATTTACAAGCATATTCACCCCAGAAACAAATTTAACTTCAAAAAGCAAAAGGGTTACTGGGGAAGGGTGGCGGACCTTGCACAACCTTTAAGAAAAGCCCTGTAAGAACAGTTAGAACCACAAAATAAAGATGACAACTCGTGTCAAACTGTCAGCCATTCAACCGTAGGGCCAAACGCTCTGAACAGATCTGCAACAGGCCACTACTGAAGACTAGAACCAAGCTGAAAAGAAAAAAACTGAAGAAACATTCATGTCTGACGTTTCACTGTGAATCAGACAAGCTCCTACACCAGAAAAGGGCTGAGGTCCTGCCCTGCTAAAACAGTTGATGAACGATTGTGACTTCCTCCCTAAAGTAACAGGGCAGAGAACATCTCAACAGTGCTGCACAGACAGGGTCCGCATCTGGAGAGTCTAAGGTAATGAAGTCCTTTTTGCGTTTCATTTGAAGTAGTTTCTATTAGACCATTACTTTCAGGAGCAGGAAGCTCAATGCTCTTCACCCGATGGACCACAAAAATCTCCAGTGTCTTATTTCACCCACCAATCCATCCAACTGGGATCAATTTAAAAAGCAATGTTAAAATGCAGAAAAGAAAACGAGTTAAAGGAAAAACACTGCAAAAGTTTACTCTATTTACATATATTGATTTTTTCTTTTTTTAAAGACAAAAAAAAATCTTTACAGAAACATTTTCAGCAAACAAGTCTCTTTACAAGTTCTTCATCCTTTTGACTTTCATGTCTCTATTCACTTGGGATTTGTTTAGCTCTCGTCCCCAAACGGGCCAAAAATCAAAGCATCAGATTCAATCCTGAAATCAGTGGCTCTCTGCAATGCTCTCTCTAACCACCAGTGGGCACCAAAGTAGCACCAAACGTACGTCCACCTTACCAGCAGAATCTCACTCTCAAATGGCAGTGAGTGGGGTTCATAAAGACAGCGAAAGAAGGGCGACGGTGAACAGGAGTGGGGCGTGGACGCTTGTGTAGGAGGAGGTGGATCACCTGCCTCAGTCGTCGCTGTCTGAGAGGGTCTCGTACTGCTCTGACAGTAGCGGTGGCTCTCTCTCCCATGCACGCGTCGGGGCCACGGCGCCGCCTTGTGGCTGCTGCTGGGACTGCATGGAGGGAGGCGGGCTGGCCATGGAGGTGGGAGGGGTACTACTGAGCATGCGCATCGTCAAGGGGTTATAAGGAAACTGCATGGAACCTGAGGCCGGAGGAAAGAGAAACAACCATTTTAAATTTCAACCAATGTCACTAACAAAACAACTTCATCTAACAATCCACAATCAAGTCGCTCACCTGTGGATGACGGCCGGTCCTCCCAAGCCCAGGTGGGTGCCTGTCTGTGGTAATCGCCCTCTGAATGAACGGAGGACACAGAAGAGGGCCGCTCTCCGGCAGAGTAAGCCTGGCCTGGGTTAGGAGACTTTGATTTCCTGCTGCTAGCTTTACTCTGCAGCTTCTGTTTTCCTGCTATGGAGGCAGAAAGATAGACAAGGATGTCAGCAGTGAGGTTTATGTCCTAGACACAATTTGGTCTGGTCTTGAATGTAAACATTCAGAATAGAGTAGGGCTGCACGATAAATCGCTTGCGATATTTAATGCGCATCTTGTCAGAAAGCTGGTTCTGTAATCAGCGGTAAATCTCCATCACGTGCATGCTTTCACATTGAGCAGCATTAACTACACGGAGCCATTGTTCACTGACGAGCTGCGCAAAAAATCGCGCGAATATGAACGTGGTTTAGCGCAGCTCGTCAGTGAACAACGGCTCTGTGTAGTTAATGCTGCTCAATGTGAAAGCCCACAGGTGATGGAGATTTACCGCTGATTACAGAACTGCTTTACTGACAAGATGCGCATTAAATATCGCATGCGACTTATCGTGCAGCCCTAGAATAGAGGTATCACAATATATTTCAAAAATGAAATTTTGATGATATGTTAATACTGCACATTTGATAATATCGTAAATAATCCAGGGGCAGTGACTATCTGGTTGTTGCATCAACATAGTAGGCGGAGATAATGCACCTTGTTGTCACCCGTTACAAAAGAGAAAGATGACAACGACACAATTTGAAGCTCTTATTGCCGCTCAAAATCATGTTGGAGATGACAGACAAAAGCAAAACATGAACCAAAAAAAATTTGCTTGCCCATGTGAGAGTTTTTTTTAGCAAAAAAAAAACAACAACAACAACAAAAAAACAAACAAGATGTTACACAGTATGTAGGATGTGCCAATCAACGGTAAGTTCTTTTTGGATGCTTTCGTACAGTTACAAACTTTCTCTCTCCACTTTCTCAGCAGCGCTGCTTCCGGAAGTACTTTCCCATTCATTTTGAGTGTGATTCATTGGTCAAAAAAAAGAGAAAACAAAAAGATAAATTTGACCGATAGCATTTATTTATTTTCATTATAGATATCATGAAAATTTCATTATCATGAATGCTTATAGCTGTGATAACTAATAAAAATCCGATATTGTGACTGCTCTAATTCAGAGTGATTATCCACTAAAGACCGGTATTATCTGTGTATTTATCCACACACAGATTAAAAAGACCAATACACTCTTTTTTTCGTGGTAATTAGCCGACCCACAAAGCACTCTGTAGAAAGTTCAGCATGTTGGTATGTTTTTTTCTGTTTTAGAGAAAATGTATGTTCATTGATGTGAATTTACAGTATGAACCTGTGTTAGGGGATGGGCTGGCCTCCTGTCGGCTGTCTGAAATACTGCCTGAGGTGTTTCCTGTCCCCAGCTGGGCTTGCTGCTGCTGCTGGTCCTCCTGCTTCTCCTCCATGTTCCCCATCAGAGCCTTCCTGATGATGTCCTCCAGACCCAGATTACTGGCTGGATCACTAAACGAGTGGTTTCTAGGGTTTACACTGCCTGTAAAGGATAAAAAAAACATACACGCATGCACATATTGGAAACACTGAAACCAATTTAAGAAGTGTTTAAACTATGATATAAAACACATGCAACAAACACAGAAAAATACATCAAATGATGCAAGTGTTGATGCAGTTACATGTTTTTACGGTGAAATTAATCATACTGATAAGTTGTGAAACTCACTTGATGTTGTTACTGCTGGGAGATTGAAGATCTCTGTGCCTGGCTGAGCGTTACCTGTTGAGGTCAGGAGCAAACGGGAGGTAGAATTAGGTGCTAATCAGGTGGCAATTGTCTAAATTAGGGATGCACCCCCTATGGTACCACATACCTAGTGGTATGGATACCACTTTTTCCAGAACGACTCCGATACCGATACTTTCACTTTTGGTACTTGCCAATACAGGTACCAGTATTTTCATTGCATTTGTAATTTTTAAAAATATTGGGTACAGAAACCAGAATATAGTATGAATTATGCTAGTTGGCTTCATTTAGCAAACATATTTCCTTCAGTTACTTCCCTGACCAAACAACAAACTTTCCTGTGATATCTGTGAGAAAGGGATATTTGCTCAACACGTGCTCAATCCCCACAGCGTGCTTTGCTTATCAGCTCGTGCACATCAGCTATACAGGCGTGAATATTGAATGTTTAACATTATATTACATACATGTTCTTCACAGACATCCTTAATTTCGAATAACTCCATTCTGCTCTCTGTTGTTCTGTGGTTCTTTGTCTGGACACAGCACTGTTCACACACTGTGTGGTATTGTTTTTTTGGTATCGGAGCATTTTAATGAGTACGAGTAAGAGTACAAGTACAGGAGCGCAATATTGGGCGCATAGTCAAAATAAAAGACATCAGTTTATCAGTGCAGTGAAGTAAATATTCTGAGCTTGAATGTCAGTAGGTCTCTGAGAAAATGGGCTTGCTGTTGTCACTCACCGACTTCTGCTTTGCGGAAGATCTCCTGCTTTTTGGACATAACCATAGGAGACGTGCTCTCCAGTTTGGTAAAGAATGAGGGCAGGTAACTGCTGCTGCCTGGGGAGCGCGAGTCAGTCCTGACACAAAAGAAAGGTCTAAGATCACACAATGCATATGGCATAGGAAATTTGGCTAGCCCAAAATAACTAAGACAATAAACAGACAACATTCAGGTACACAGGCAGTTGCTTTTAATTTAATTAAACTACTTTATTACAACTTTTTCATATAATTTTCCTTTGAGTGTTTTTTTTCTTTATCATTCTAAACAAAAGCCTGAAAAATTATAGTTAATTTAAAAAGGCATAAATAAAGGCTTATACATCAAAGTAGTAAAGAGAGACAATCAATTTCTACCTCTGTTCAGGCGGATCGTGCTCTCGTCTCTGACCCTGCAGCACACTGTCCTCCTGTTTATCCAACCCAGAATAACCCTGAGGAGGAGAGATGGGCTCATAGTTCTCCGGTCCTCGTCCTCGATCAGGAGACCTACCTGGCCTGAGAGACACAGATGGATAAGAGGCTGCTGCTGGGACAGCAGTGCTGTTTTTAGTGTGTTTCATAGATTAGTTGAAAGGGCTGTAAGCGATGTTAATCATTCTAGAACTTCAGCCAGACGTAGCCAATCAACTCTATATTTTTAAAAACCTGCCCTGTAGAGATACTGTTGTACCGACGAGACCCTTCAAAGACTGACTGAATGTCGTATTTAGAGATGGGGCAAAAGGGCACAATGTTTTTTTGTCACAATTGTGAAGCTGAAAATGGCACTTCACTTCAGTGATCCAATTTAACTACTATGCTCTCAGCTTCCTACTTCACATATATGGACTTCCCTGTGAATGCGCAAAATCTAGAAGATTTGAGATTGACTAAAAGAATCTAACTATGGTCGGAATTTATTTATTTATTTATTTTTTGGCAGTTTACAGAGACATTCATTTTAGGACACCCAATTTTAAAACCAATTTCCAAAACCTTTAAGGTCCTTGTGCTCTCAATAGAGACTGTTGGTTGGGTGTGCCGTATACAAATATTCACATACACTATCATTCAAAAGTCTGGATTTAGGCAAGGCTTTTGTAATGTTTTTTTTTTTTTTTAAAGAACTCTGCTCACCAAGACTGTATTTATTTGATTAAAAGACAGTAAAAAAAAATAATATTAATAATACAAACATTGACTAAAAGCATTAAATTATAATATTTCACAATGTATAGTATTGAGAAATATTATAATTTAATATTTTTGTGGAAACTGACATTTTTTTTCAGGATTTTTTGATGAATATAAATAAAAAAAAAACAGTATTTATTTGAAATAAATATTGTGTAACATTAGAAATGTCATTACTGTCACTTTTGATCACTTTAATAAGTCCTTGCTGAACAGAAATAAAAAAAACAAAACAAAACAAAAACAAGTACAGATCCCAAACCTTTGAACAATAATTTGTGTGTATGCATTTGGTCCTAACCGCCCTGCCTAGAGCCAGTCACTAGTGTACTTCTTGAGATTGAGGTTTCCCTGCGCAACTCTTACCAGCTGGCCTCGTTACACATTCTTTAAAAGGCTTGTGCGCATTGTCCAAATGACTCTCATTTGAGTGAAATGTCTGCCGTTGTATGTATACACTGTGTGTTTGTTTTCATATGTACCTCGCTCTTGGTTTATCGGAGGAGTTTGGTGGTCTCTGGTGGTGTGCAGTAGGAGCTGGGTTTTCTGGGCTATAGCGGTTAGGGGCTTTAACTCGACCTGCAACACCTCCCACACCAGAGCTCTGGAATGTGGAGGAGAGTGAGGAGGAGGATGAAGAGGAAGGCAGTGAGCTGGATGACGGGGGAGGATCTTGGCTCTTGGCAAAGTCCTGTGTAATGATATGCTGCAAGACAGAGAGAGAGAAAGTGAGGGCAATGAAGGAGGAGTGACATGACAAAGCATCAAGAGTATGAGTGTGACTTACCGAAATGTGGTCGGCGAGGGTCATGATGTGGTGTGTTTTCGGGACAGGCCCATAACTGTCTGCTTGTGAGGAGGGGGGCTGCTGAGGGGCAGAAGGTCCTGAATCTCCTGACTGCCTGAACCGGTTAATGTCAAACCTTAATCCTACACAACATAAGATCAGATAAAAAAAAAACAAAAACAAAAAAACACATCTGTCATGAAAATCATGTCACAATGAAAAAATCTTAATGGCTCCAATTAATCGAAATAATAGAAACATTTTTTTTCTTTTTGTTGGTGAAAAATAACCTGGATGCGTTCCTAAAATATTTAAGGAGATTCACCCCATCTTGACAGAACAGACATTCAAGTTCTTGGCTGTGGCGCCAGGGATTTGAAGTCTCACCTGGGTGTGGCTGAGAGCTCTTTTCTGATGGGAAAGATCCTTCGTTCTTCTGTTCTCTCAGGGCTGGAGAGTTAGCAGGGCTGATCACCTCAATTCCACCCTGAGCATCATAACGACTGGATGACACTGAACGACATGTAGACATGATGTTACAGGCTTGTAAGTAAATAAAGCTGGTTTGTTAGTAGGAGAGGGTGTGCCATCTACACCTTTAGCACACGGTCTTCAACATGCATCCAAATAAACACTTGCTAGTATTCAACAGAAAAAACATGCTGAGCAGCAGCGTCGCTACTTTGGTACCACCATCAACTTTCATATGTGGCTTTTGATGAAGACAACATGCCATTGTTATAAATAAATCCATCTGATAATATCTACCACCAAGCGATGTGGCATAAAATGAACAGATTACACAGAAGTTGGCATTGAAACAAACTTCTAGCAGCCTTTATAGTAAGTAACTTAGGAAAGAGAGCGAATTTCTTTCCTGTGCTAAGAGCTACACTCCATTTAATGGAATAACCCTGTCAAATCTCAGGTCAGAAGTTTGTCACTGTTGTCAGTCTCCGTTCCAGCTGGGTCACAGGTTGTGCTATCGAGGTTTCCTAAGACTATTAGGTCTCATGGCCTCAATGGCACTAGCTATCCTATTAGGTGTCCTGTTAATGCTCTCTGTTAGCAAATCCCTAAAGTATATGTCTTGACTGTCTTTTAAGTATCTAATTTCTTGAATCATCCTTTTTGCCTCTGATATAAAGATGCTTGTGGCACTGTGACCAACTTGCACAAATCCAGCATATGGTACAACTGTGACTTCCTGTTTGCTCTGCTTTGGGGCATGTACACTACCGCTCAAAAGTTTGGAGTCAGTAAGATTTTTCTTTCTGAAAAGAAATTAATACTTTCAGCAAATATGCATTAATCAAAAGTGACTAAAGGTATCTGTTACAAAAGATTTCTATATAAAATACATGATTTCTATTCAAAGAATCCTGAAAAAAATGTATCACACTTTCCACAAATATATTAAGCAGCACAACTGTTTTCAACATTGATCTTAATAATAAATGTTTTTGAGCACCAGAGCATATCTGAATGATTTCTGAAAAATCACGTGACACTGAAGACTGGAGAAATGGCTGCTGAAAGCTCACAGGAATAAAATTACATCTTAAAATATATTCGAAAATAGTTATTTCAAATTGTAATAATATTTCACAATATTTCTATATTATTGATCAAATAAATGTAGCCTTGGTGATCATAAGTTATTTTTTTTTTAAGAAGTCTCCAAACCTTAAAATGGTTGTGAACATATGAGACTCATAGTCATGAACTGTACAGATGTGCAGAGTTACGCAACCTCTGTTGGCATCATTGTTATTACTCAATATAAATAATACTAAATAAACACTGTCTATCTGATGACACTCACTGCTGCTGGAGGAGTCAGAGCTTTGTGAGCCTCTCTCACGGGAGTCCTTATCTGGGGCAATCTGGCGCGTGATGATGACATCAATAAAGTTTGCAGCAGTTATGGTGGTCTTCCCATGCGTGCGCAGCTCCTCCTCCATGCGTGACTTGGTGGGTGGGGCTTTCTCTTTGCTCCCTGCAGCTCCTCCTCCCTCTGCATACACAGGATGGGAAGGTTTTCCACTAGGAAGTGATACGTCCCCATATAGAGATTGCACGGAACGGCGCTCCAGCTCTTGCGACTCCAGTGCTGCCCGTCGTGATGACATCACTTCATCATCCCGGGAGCTACTGTTATTATGCTTGCCCTCCTTGACTTTCGCAACATCCATCTGCGGGGCAGAGGCGGCAGCATCCACAAGGGCAGCGAGGGCATCAGCTGCATTGCTGTATCGGTTGGCTTGAGATGCAGCTGCTTGTAAGGGCATTTGCCTGGACAACCAAAACAATCAGAAGTTTAATAGTGCAAAACTAAATTTTACAATCTATAAATTAGAAGGGATTGTTCACCCAAAAATGAAAACTGTCATCAATTACTCACATTCATGTTGTTCTAAACACATGAGAATTTTATCTTCGGAACACAAATTAAGTTATATTAATGAAAGAGATTTCTGTACCTCTACTGAAACTCCACCAAAATATTAATGCTTCAAAATGTTCATAAAGGGATTGCAAATTAATCGAATGGTTTAATTAAAGTGTTCTGAATAGATATGCTCACTTTATGAACAGATTTAAATTTAGGCTTTTATTCACATGTAAACATTGATCAACACACATACATACAGCTCAAAAAACATGGTGAACAAAAGGTCAACTGTACGTGCTTGATGTGTGAGAACCAGTAAGGTATTATGCTTCAAGCAAGTTAAAAATATCTTCATATATTCGTTTTTTTTTGGTGTGGAACGATTTGAAGGTGAGTGAAAGATGACATTTTTTACTTTTGAGTGAACAATCCCTTTAACAACCACAAAAAAAAAAAGATAAATAAAAACATACAAATTTTTTGGTTTATACATTTATAATGCAGTAATATAATAAATTAATATAATACAAATACAGTTAGTGTGTGCATTTAGTAAAAAATAACTATTATTAATTATTACATATATTAATTTTAATAGATGTAATATATATATATATATATTATTAATAATATCCATATATATATATAATACATATATATTAATAATAAAACGAATGAATTATTAGATTATTATTAGATGTCATAAAGAGTGCATTGCTCACATGAGTGGGGTAATGACGCTCTTGGAGGTGGTGCCCTGTTCAAAATGTTCATAAAGGGATTGCAAATTAATCGAATGGTTTAATTAAAGTGTTCTGAATAGATATGCTCACTTTATGAACAGATTTAAATTTAGGCTTTTATTCACATGTAAACATTGATCAACACACATACATACAGCTCAAAAAACATGGTGAACAAAAGGTCAACTGTACGTGCTTGATGTGTGAGAACCAGTAAGGTATTATGCTTCAAGCAAGTTAAAAATATCTTCATATATTCGTTTTTTTTTGGTGTGGAACGATTTGAAGGTGAGTGAAAGATGACATTTTTTACTTTTGAGTGAACAATCCCTTTAACAACCACAAAAAAAAAAAGATAAATAAAAACATACAAATTTTTTGGTTTATACATTTATAATGCAGTAATATAATAAATTAATATAATACAAATACAGTTAGTGTGTGCATTTAGTAAAAAATAACTATTATTAATTATTACATATATTAATTTTAAAATGACGCTCTTGGAGGTGGTGCCCTGGAAGATGCTCGGCCGCTGTTGGAGGACGCCCTCCTGTGATCTCACAGAGGGTGAAGTGGAACGCAGAAAACTACGGCTGCCTGGTCGGCCAGGTTGCTCAGAACCTGCAACATAAACAGAGACACATCCTGAGAATATTGGCAGAATACATCAGTTTGTTAGAGACTGAGCAGAATGGACCATTATTGGTGACATCATTTCCTTCTGTGTGTCAATTAGTCTTACCTCCACGCATATATTCTACCGCTGCACGTTCCCGTTCTCTCTGATCTCTTTCTCGCTCCCGCTCTCTTTCCCTCTCCCTCTCCCTCTCCCTCTCCACAATAGCTGCAGTGGCACTATGATGGGCAGGATGTCCTATGGGGAGTGAAGAACAAGAAAACACACAAAAACAAAAAGTGGGGTTATAACCAAAAGGGCCTTTTACACTTGCTGCACTTTGACAGGGCCAGCTGTGTTGCTGTTAGGAATAGCAGACAAATTCATGATAACAGTGATGTGAAATTATCGCAGAGATACTGTATATAAATGTATATGAATAACATTGGCATTAATCCATTCACCAAGACCAGGGCTCACAAAATTTCAAAATCCCTGGTAGCCCTCGGGCAGGCATTCTTTAGATTTTGGAAGACCAAAATGAATTTAACTATCCCGAATAACAAAAATCGACTGAACTTCACTGTGGACAAATCAGCATCATCAAAAACTTCAGTGATTGTATTTTTTCTTCAAATTGCAAGTACAAAGAATAGGGGTGCAACGGATTATAAAACTCAGATCATATTACAGATTTTGAGTCACAGATCGGATCTTTTTATTATTTTTTTATTATTTAAATAACACTTATTATTTAACTTTAATTAATTTAAAGTTAATTAATTAATTTCTTTACTTCTTCGATACCACAGCAAAAACTAGGAGCATATAGAGATGTAACGATTAATTTAATCATGATGCGATATGATTCAAGATACTGATTTCACAATACAATTTTTTTTATTAACAAAATGAGGTATTAAACTGAATTTTTAAAATAAATCAAATCAAATCAAATCAAATTAATACAAATAAAAAATCTCTTCATATAAACTAAGGCTTAGCCTGGGCTCTTTCCCTTTAAAATTAGAGGCAACCACTGCAGTTTAATCACAATCCAAAATAACAAAGATGCTACATAGGCCTACACGTTATATAGATTGTATAATTTCGAAATTTGAAGTAAAAACAGAATGGTCTGACTTTAGCTTTGTGAAATTATTCGACATAAAACATCTGAACGAAACAGAAACAGTTTGAAGATTCAAACCATTTGTAAAGACAGCACATGGAATGATGCTAAAAGATCAGCATAGTTACTGGTGTTGTAGTACAACACAGACACAGGAACCATGAAACACAGTTCTTTGAAGCAAAAACAGAATGGTCTGACTTTAGCTTTGTGAAATTATTCTACATAAAACATCTGAATGAAACAAAAAAAGCAGGGGGACTGAATGAGAAGGCAAATTCTACATAGTGTTCACTGAATGAATTAAATATAGAGTTTTGTTAAAGTTGTGCTTTGTTGTTTAACATTAAGGACACAGACAGCAGCATGTATTTATAGGCTGCTGCCCCTTTAATACCTGATGCACTGATCTAATATAATGATATACATGCAATTTCTTTCTCCACTGTTTACGTTCACTTAAGAAATAACCAACTGTGTTTACCAGAATACTTGCCGAGACAGTTAGTCTGAGATAATTTTGTGTGTATGTGTATGTTTTCACGCAAGGATATGCGAAAGAGTAATCAATTCAAAACTCTGCACGAGTGTTGAATTGAATTTTCTTCAGAATTTTTGTGTGCTTTAATGGTTTAAAATGCTTGAATATTAAAATTGGCAAGACTTAGAAATGTGCAAATGATCAATTACAGTCCATTTCACCCCTACAAGAGAGTGAACAACAAAAATCAAGGAATTAATTTTATTATACACTATTCAAGATAGATTTTGGTAGCCCGACTGGAAGACACAATAGCCCTGGGGCGCCAGGATAGTGATTCTTTGAGAGCCCTGAAGACATTCTCTTTAATACACATTAGCATGTATTAATACTCCTTTTGTTGCATGCCAGCTTTTCAGGATGGAGAAACCTGAACTGAAAAACTGACATGATCCTGCCCTTAAAGGTGCATTCCATTCAGTTTGGTGCCAATTTAAAACTTTTTATACATTATGAAATAAATTGTGTTTTTGTGAAGAGTCATCTAAATGGTGAACACTCACAAGAGATTAGGACTACTCATCATAGATTTCTAGAAAAAGTGTTTTAATCACATGTAATTACATTTCGCCATGTTAAAATGTGTTTCACTGAACCATCCAGAGAGAATCCTCACGCTTATTGGCTGCTGCCTCTATAGATAGTACACTAGGAGCGTAGTTTTGTTTGGTGAAGCGAAGAGCAAAAATTAATCAATGGACTATGTAGACACTTATTATTACAATGCTTTACCAGCGAGCACAATGGAAGAATCAGTACCTGTAGAGCCAAACAAGCAGAAAAACTCTTAAGCCAAAAAGACTGACAAAGACAAAAAACGAGCGTAAACATCGGTACAGCATACACAAGGTGAAAATTTGGGCATCACTACTCAGGTCTGTCATCCAATCTTAAACCTCTGTAACCTCTGAAATTACGGTTGCTTGTTTAAGATCAGCAAGAGAGCTGCCTTTTTCTGTGGTGGAAGCGCCAGCAAAAGTGGTTTGGGCACCAGCACTTTGACGGTTGAAAAGGGGTGCAAAGCAAAATATCAAATTAAACCTGAATTATTCTTGAGAGAAAACAGGTATTTGTATGTACTGTATGCATTCCTGTACAAGATTCAAACCATATGTAAAGACAGCACATGGAATGATGCTAAAAGATCAGCATAGTTACTGGTGTTGTAGTACAACACAGACACAGGACCCATGAAACACAATTCTAAAAGCATATTCACACAGAGAGCGAATATATCTAGCAACATCATCTTTTTGCAATTCACTTCACGCCATAATTCCCCTCTCGGTTTGAATAGACGTTTAGAAAGTCAAGGTTTACTCACCTCCAGAACACCTGCACTCCCAAGACAAACTTTAAATATGACACTACTGAGCCAAGGCCAGTATTTGCCAATATTATGTTTGAGATGCACACATAAGTGGGCAGTAAAAACAGGATCTCAGGGTAAGGGGTAGGGACGTACTTGCAGCTGCTTTTTTAATTACGACTTATATCCTGCATCTACATACATCTTTAGGTTCAATCTCACGCAGACAGAGATTGATACCAGCAGCTCTCTTCATTCTTTATAATGGTCAATAAACTCAATCTAATCCCTCAAAATGGTACTTTATGTCTGTCAGAATATACAGAATTCAGCAGGAGCCTGCTAAGTCCATAAACAAATCTGAACAGATTGTGCTTCTTGACTGATTCACTAAAATAATTATTTGTTTGTGAATTTGACTAAACTAGAGCTGCATGTTCAGTTTTGCTAATAGCCAGTGAAAACAAAGAATATAAAGTTGAGGTCTTCAGAGTCACACTTGGATATGAAAAACGAGACTCGAGCAGGTTTGGGTCTAACACTTAATTGAGTGCCTCAGCCATGGGCCGGGTTGATATCAGTAGCCTCGTGTTCCAGGTAATTTTAAATAATTGTCCTGAAGATTTCCGTATTAATATTAACATAAATTTCCTTGTCATTTGATGTGTAACAAAGATTATGAGTGGTTTATTTACTTTGATTTGTGGAAAAACAGTGCACTGTTGCCTAAATAAAGCAACAAAAATTAAAGCATAACTGTATATCTTTAGTGTTTTCTGACTTCCACAAAGTGTTACTAAGGCTACATTATTTGGCAACATGGGTCCAAACTTCTAAAGTAAACGCTGCAAAAAAGGATTGGAGAATGAATTTCATCTACAAACAAAGTAGGAAGATGGGCCTACTTTTAAATCTACACATGCTGGGTGTTTCTAATTTGTTGTTTCTGATTTTGGTATTTGGATGTTGCTTTCTGCATTCGGCTCCAAAAAAAAAAAAAAAAAAGCCACCGGGGCAGACTCTAAAAATGAATAAAATGTAATTTATTCCTGTGATGGCAAAGCTGGATCAGCAGTCATTACTCCAGTCTTCAGTGTCAGTGTTTAGAAATCATTGTAATATGCTGATTTGGTGCTCAACAAAACAGTTCTAATTATCAGTGTTTAAAACAGTTGTGCTGTTTAAAATATTTGTGGAGAGTGATGCACGTTTTTTTTTTTTTTTAAGAATTCAAAAGAACATTTATTTTAAAAAAAAAAAAAAAAATAAAAATTAAAAAAAGGCTTTCTGCATTCGGCCCCAAAAAAAAAAAAAAAAAAGCCACCGGGTCAGACTCTAGTCTAACGTAAACTGTCTCAAGACAGGTTTTTCTTTTTTTTTAAATTAATTAATGCACATCTGGTTCGGGTAGGAAGTGATTCGGTTCGGGTGCAGATTTTAGGACCAAAGAAGACCTCTAGTATAAAGATGTGTTCTTTTTTTTTGTATTATTACACTATCAATCACCACACTCAATTCAGACTAGTTAATAAATCAGGTGAAATGTAATTCCTTTTGCCATGATGCTGTAGATTTAGTAGCAGCGCATTGCTACCATAGCGGAGCAGAAAACGGCTGAAGTTAGGTTTAGGTGGAAGAAAGCGCCTCGCTTAAAACAGCAAAACTAATCTCAGAGCAGCAGGGAAGGGAGAATTTCTAAAGCACCACCACCAGGACTTGAAGGGGAAGTTCAGGTGTTGGATAGGAGAGGAGGGGTGGGATCCTCACCTGGAGATATGGAGGCAGGGTTGAATGCCCTAGCAGGGAAAGGGGTCTGAGGTCCAGGGATATAGGTGATGCGTTCCAGGGAGGGGGAACCTGTCCCCCCGGGGTGAGGTAACAGGATGGTAGGTGGCATCTGGGCTAGATCAATTATTCCTTTTACAGACAGAAGCAAAGGGCCAGAGGGTGAGCATCCACAACCAATCAGCTTCAACTTTAAAGAGCCAACACCCTCTACTAATCTTCTAGAAACATCTAATGACTAACAGACTGGAGGAAGAATTTAAGAAATTAGCTCATTAGCTAATTGAAAGAGTTCAATTACAAAAAATAACAAGATACCAGGGCTGAAAGCTAGTTTCCACCAAGCGATGTTTTTTCATTAAGCAAAGAAAAATTAGAACTAGAAATATGGAGCAATGTAGATTGGAGATGTAGACAGCAGGACCTGCTAAAGGTCTAAGGTCAAACTCCTTCAGATTGAAACTGCAGTATTACTATGAAACTTTCCATGATTTAAAAAAAAAAAATAATAATTTTTGCGAAATAATGTCTCATCAGACCCAGGTCAACTTTTAACAGGTAACCTTCTTCCTGTAGATGTTACAATAGGGTGCAGAGTGAACATACATCACCAGAAAAACAAAAAATGTGGGCCTCTTGACAGACAGGTCTAGTGGATGTCTAAGAAACAGCCCCAGCCCTGGATTTAACAACTGTTTTGAACTCAAAAAATTTAATGTGCAATTACAATTTGCTTGAAGGTCATTTGCTTCTGATGGTCTGGAAAAGGTTGCCACTAGTTCACACAAACACCATATCAACAGACTACATTCTTCCTTTGATACTTTCATTCAGTTTCAAAAACAAACACACACACACTAAGACAATCATGCCCCTTACCCCTAGCTGGTGGGTATGGGATGGCAATTGACGGTTCACGTGGTGACAGTCCCCTTGTCACATCAGGGCGCGGTATGACCTGCATCTGCTGCGAGGTGATGTAATCGTTCAGAATGGTTTGCCGAGTGTTTTCCATGGTGTACAGCTGGTAAGTGTTGGGGTAACCAGTCGGCGATGGTTGCCGTGGGAACATGTACGCTGCTGAGATATACAAAGGACAACAAGGACGAGAGGTGAAAAGACAGCTGTTCTAGTCTTGACTTCAATGTGGAGAGTTAAGCAGGAAATGCTATTATCTAATGCATGAGAGCAGGTTGAAAAACCAAAACATGATGTTTACCAATGAGATAGGAGTAGTGCTTTTATGAGAGAACCATTACTCAAAAGATCAGTCAATTTTGTGTGTGACGCGTCAAGCAAGAACTGTTTGTCCTGCTTGTCAGTTTGTAGGAAGCATGGTTTCAGAACAGAACTAATTCATAATTCACTAATTTTCCATTCCTAGGCAAAGCGTAGCCACTACCCATGTGCTCTGAGCCTGATTAAGTAATGTAACAATGGGTCAAGATTTACAAAACTACTGTTTTTTCTTTTCTAATATAGTAAAAAAAGACAATGTTCTGTATAGAGACTTTTTAAAACAGAGACTGTTCTATAAGTGCCTTTTTAAAATCAGCAAGAAATGAAAATTTATCCTAGCTATTTTGTAAATGCATCTTATTGATCTTATCGTGAATGATTCATCCAAGTTCCATTTTTAAACTTTTTTTGACCTCATAATTTTTCATTAAAATGTCATTACTAGCTCTTCCAGTGAAATGACGATTCTCCAATCATTTAGTCTGCTTAAATTCTATCCATTTCTTATAACTAACTGAAAGACGGATAGAACAAAGCTCTGTTCTACATTTTTTCAATAATCCACTTCAATTAAATGTCAAAATTCAAAAGAAATGATCTGTTGGTAATTTTGTTGCATTGCGACTAAGAGTTTTATCTATCTTAATGCTTCTTGCAGAAAAAAGGGGGGAAAAAAGTTATTAAAAAGCGTTAAAGCATCAAGACAATGTCACACTTGTCTTAACTTCCAAAATGTAAGATGTTCAATGAATTTATTGGGTTGTTTCAATATTAAGTATTACAATATTATAATATTATATTACTACAGAAATTGTTTACAAAATATAAAATACTTCTATAATCGCACACATGTGATTTTATTCTAAAGAATACAATTTTCTAAAGAATAAAGTTTTTTTTTTAAGAACTACATTATTATGAACCTAATTAATCCTAAGAACTTAATTTGTTCTTAAGAAGATTTTCATAAATCTGGCCCCTGCAAAGATTCCATAATGCCTTAAATTACCTGGGTCCAGGACTCTGTGGTGAAAAGCGAGGCTGGGGTCCAGGTGTGGTGGTAGGTGAGTCCGGTACACATCTCCAGGTACTACAGGTCTATGGTGGGGGTCAAATGGGCTGTGAGAACCAAGAGGTTCACCCCCGGACACAGGCGACTTGGCGGGAACACTGTCCCTCTGGGTTGGAGTCAGTGTGCTCCTCCTCTCATGAGAAGCTGGCTTACCTGTTGCTATAATTCCTATTTGAGAAAATAAAATCAGTACAATGACCTGTACAATTGACTAATGCTAGATGTAAGCTAAGGATCATTGCTTAATTGTTATAAGAACAACTATCTGGGGGCAATTAAGAGAGAAAACAAGAGATGTCGCATTCATACCGTCTTGCCCTCGTAGCAGAGGTGATCCTCTGGATATGGAGGTGCTGGTGTACGTAGGGGTTCTGCGTGCATTGCTGTCTTCATACATGCCTGGACTGAGCTGGGATTTTCCCGCTTCTGTGTGTGTGGAGCGCAGGACAGAGGTGGAGTTTACTACAGAGGTGTGCCGGACATGTTCGGACGCCTTTGCATCCTCATACTTGGCCCTCTCACGCTCAGCTGCCTCAATGGCAGAGTGTGAGATCTTCACTGGGCTTGTGATCAGAGATTTAACATTGTGCTTGATGGCTGACGGGTTCACAGTACTGCTCTCGTACTTTAGAGAAATACCCTGCAGAGATGCACATTGAGAAAATTAGGAGATGGAAAGATAAACTGTACTCTTAAGGCATCTTCCATTTGACTGATCTGAATGTGATTTGAATGTTCTTTATTAACACATTTCAGTGTGGGAAACAGTAACAACCTTGAATCATGTACCTGAGTAATGGATCCTTCCAGAACAGGAGTTTTACGACTATCTTGAGTCCCCTTACAGGGAATCTCGTGAATTGAGCGGCCCATCTCCTTTATGGTGTTCACCTCCTCGTATGGTTTACCCTTCATAATGCCTCCCTCAAAAGAGTGTATGGGTGGACTTTCCCTCTTGATCTGTTTACCATATTTGGAGGCTTCATCATAGACTTCAGCAGAGGCTCTTGGTGTTCCTGAAACATGGGAAAGAAGATTAAGCATGATGTAGAAATTCACATACATTTTTGTGAAAAATGAGTAAAGCAAACACGTAAATAGGACCTGTATTATTATTTGAAATGATTTACAATTAATTATACTAATACATACTAATCAACTGGAGTCGAAATCAAGTAGTCTTTAAAGGGGTCATGAACTGAGAAATCAAAATTCCTTTGATGTTTTGACATATAAGAGGTCATTGTACTATAAAAACATCCTGTAAGTTTCAGAACTCAAAACTTTCTTGTTAATCTAAAAACAGCTTATATTGAAGCCAATCTGTCAAAACGACAGGTTGGGAAATGTGCCACTTTATGATGTAATAGTATGGCTAAACACCGCCTCCGCAGAAGATGATCAACACCTGCTTCTACATCACTGACTGTTTAACCCCGCCCACCGATTCGATCATGTAGTGTATAACGAGAGGCAAACGCAGGTCTTCACAGAAATCAAACAATAAAGATGCTCCAAAGAAAACAATACGCTGTGCAGTGCCAAGAGGAAAGAGTGGATGAACTTTATTTTTAATGAAGTTCCAGACCGTGTCAGTAAGAACTTGGGTCCTTTGTCCACTTCATTTTACAGTGGATTAGTTTACAAACAAAGCACAATTTAATGCTGGATTTTCAGAAAGATTGAAACTAAAAGACGATACTGTGCCGACTATATTGTATCCGACAGTAATATTGCACCACACAAGTGTGATTAACTGTTTTTATTACGTGGTCACTATTGCTTTGTCTGTTATTACAGATCGTTTGATATGAACTGAGTATTTATGTGTTTTGAACCTAAATCACAGCAGCGTCCATTTACAATCTGCCACGCCTTTTCAAACAGAGTGTTCCGATGAGGGGGTCAAAACAGGACAGAAAATAGCCTATTACTTCTAAATTATGATGTATTTTGATGTAAAAATATTGATAACATTATAAGTGGACCTCAGAGAGCAATACAAAATAAAAAACAAAGGCAGTTCACGACCCCTTTAAAGTGGAAGTGAAGCAGTCAGTCAAGTTTACATTATTTAGTAAACTGATTTCCACTTTAATTAAAAAAAATATAAACACAATTAATGTAGCCATTTTAAAGGAAAAAGGATGTTTTGTTATAGCTTTTGGAGTAAGGATGCTGCCATCTTGCAATACCACAGCGTGTGACGTCACGGGGTTGGTTTGCTCCATTGCCCAGTGAAATAATATAAGCATTTCTTTACTTTTTGAACATGCTTGTTTTGAAATGGAGGAAGACAAACTTGAAAGGACTGCTGAGCCCATAATAAGTGCAATTGCTTATGCATTTGAGATATGGCGAGGGTGCCGAGCAGTAATACAGTTATGGGTGGAAGAAGTAGAGAACCTGCTGGTTTAGGGTGAAGAGCAGGTCAGAAACAATACGCGTTTACGTGGATACTCATCAAAACAGCCATTCTGGCAATTTTGTGTGCATTTGCTGACATAACAATAAGTTGCGACATGAACAATACTGTATTAAGCGTTGTTTGATTGTTTACATTGCGTTATGTAAACAATGTTTGGGATACTTAGTGAACTTAGTGATGTAGACAGTTTGATGTTGGATATTCAACCAAATTATGGTGAAAATCAAAAATGTAATTTAACTTAAAAAAATAAATAAAACCTTGCTACATGTACTGCGTTAAGCTGAGACTTGTTATAGCACTTGCATATCTTTGCTCTCTTGTTGATTTTGATTGCTTCCATTGTCCTGAAGGACAGCTTCATCCATCAGGCTGTCAGGAAGCTGAACTCCCTCCCGACCTTGCCCCCCCTCCCCTCTTTTGCCCCACGCACCACTGAACTCTGACCCTCTGATGGACTCTCCCACTCCCCCCTCCCAAATACACACACACACAGTCACTTTAATCAGTCTGAATAAGCTCTTTTGCACTACAATCATTATATCTGCACTGTTGTTTACTTCACTGGTTTGCACTCTATCTGCCATGCGCCTTGTGCTGCTCTATATATTTTTTTACATTTTTTACATCTTAACTTATTTGTATAATTGTATAGTTGTATTTTATATTTAAATCTGTATCTATCTGTATTTATGTTCTACTGTTAGTGTTATCTGTATGCACCAAGGGTCTGAGAGTAACGCAATTTAAATTCTCTGTGTGTATGTGCTGTACATGTGGAAGAATTGACAATAAAGCAGACTTGACTTGACTTGATTTGTAAGTCGCTTTGGATAAAAGTGTCTGCTAAATGTAAACGTAATTAAAGTGGAAATCAGTTTACTAAATAATGTAAACTTGACTGACTGCTTTACTTCCACTTCAACTATATATTTTTGTAAAATCATTACATATTTTCAGAATGGAAGTAAGGAAGTGAGGTGGAAGCGTTCACATTACCTTGCATGATGGATCCTGAGAGTATGAAGCGATCCTTAGACTCATGAGGACTTTCTCTTGGTAATGCTCTGCTGATCAAACCTGACAAAAACAAAACAAACAAAAAAAAAAACAAGGAAAATGTCTTGAGAAAGATTCTCTATTGGCAAATATAATTGATGCTTCAAATCTTTTGTGCTTTCTCCTTCTCAGAGAAAGAACACAAAAACATGACTAACCTTCATAAGGTGCCGTCTCACGTGTTGGGTGTCCACGGGACCCCTCCATGATGTCATATGTGCGCTTGAGATCGTGCCCCATTCGTGGGCTTCTAGTGCCCTCGCTAGGGTTCTTAATGGCTGTGGGAACATAAAGTGAGATATATTATTGTAATAAAATGAACAAGAAATATCAGTAGAACATATCAAAAAGACTCCTGGTAAGCTCTGGCTGTGGCGCTCCATAAAAACAGAAACTGCTCTTGTTGCACAGCTAACAAACATGACATTTAGCCCATAAAATGAAGCACTTCACCATCTGACTCCACTTGTGCTGTAGCATGACTAGAGCCAGGAAATATAGCAAAAAATGATCACTCTATAACTATAATTTTAGTAACTATAATTGTACTATTCAATATCACTGAGTTATACAGTGGTCACAAGCACACCAGACAGAAAGCAGTTCTGGCTCTGACCATCAAAAGAGAGAATGTGTCCGCTTTTGCCTTCATAGATAACATGAGCTTTAGAATGAGCATCAGCTCGGCTTTTCTCCGGGCCGCTCAGGTCCTCTGTGGCCAGTTTAGCAATAGTGCCTTTCAACAGATCCGCTGCTACATTGGACTGAGCCAGGGCAGGAGTGCCCTAGAAAGAGAAAGAGCGAGAGTGAGAAATATTACACAAGTATAAATGAAAATTACTCAAAAACAACACAAAGGCCTATAATGAAGATACCTGAGTAATGGAGCCTCCTCTGAAAGTCAAGCTCTCTGAGACTTTTCCAGGTGGCCCTCTCATATCCGGAATCTGTATGGGTCCTACTAGCAGCAAAGGAGAGGAAGAAAAACATTGTTTGGTTTGTGATTGAATGGTAAGACCATTGGTTCTTAATCCTTGTCCTGGGGACCCCACGCTCTGCACATTTTGCATGTCTCCCTTATTTAACACACCTGATTCAGATTATCAGATCATTAGGAGAGAGATCCATAAACTGATCCATGAACTCTATGGGTCTGTTTACACCTGGTCACTTCATGCGTTTTTTCTGATCGGATTGCTATCCGATCGTGAGAAGACCAGGTGTAAATGCCCTCTGAAATGCATTCGAGACGGATATAAATCCGATCGCTCAAACCACTTCAGGAGGTGGTCTGGGCCGCATTCCAGACGAAACTGGACAAGTGTAAATGCATCTGGTTGTTGAAACCACATATGTAAATTTTACTCCTCCCAAAATGTTAAAATAATAAACGTGTGAGAGCGTGTTATAGGCTATATGACATTAGTCAGACTGCGCTAATGCAACACGCATCGCTGCGGACAAGTAGCTGAGCATCTCTTCAGCAAGCCAACGCGCAAACTGCCACGAATGAAACTGAAAGACACAGACGCTCAACACACAATCATCTTCATTAAAAGTAGTAAGACAAACCTATCTTTCCAGTTCTGATGCCGCGCGCTCTCCTATTGCGGTCTTTGATCAGATAGATATCCGATCAGCGAAAACGCATGAAATGACCAGGTGTAAACAGGCCCTATGTGTCAGATAAGGGAGACATACAAAATGTGCAGAGCGGGGGATCCCCAGGATCAGGATTAAGAGCCACTGGGTAAAACTGTTTACTTTTGTGGATTAATTCTTGATTTTTATTCATTTTATTGTATATTTTAAGTCATCTCACCTCTGACCACTCCCTCATACTGAGCTCTGGATAAAAGACCCTCCGCCTGAGTGCTCTGTCCACATGGAGAACACTCCTCCTGCTTAATATATGACACTAAACACACACACACAAACACAATCAGGTGTTTAGATTACACATTTCATGGACCGCATGAGGTATTCATCTTCTTAACTTCATAACGAAACTCAGCCACAAAAGCCATGGCTGAGTGTAGTTAAGCTGAGCTTGATGGCAGGATAAAGATATATTTATACTCTCAAATCTCTCTTGCTCACCAGGTTTGGCAGGGTCCTGCTGTCTTGGCAAGCCAAGCGAGATCGACCCTCCTGTGGTCTTGACTACCTCCGGTACGTACACAGCGTGCATTTGAGAAGGAAGGTATGTTCCTGGTGTTCCCTGCAGGGAACGGGAAGGAAGACACGAATCAGAGTGGAATACCAGGAAAACCCCTGATCCCCTGCCTTGATCCCATTACATGTAGGAAGTATTTAAACTTAGCAGAAGCACCACGAGTCTAAAATATCAATCAACAGCATTTCTCTTACCTGTGAAATGGAGCCCCCCTGAATGAAGGAGGGCTTGTCGGTGGGTTTGGAGTGAATGAGGGGCGGAGGAGATGGAATGTTGGACGGCCTGTGACGGGGAAACGCCATGCGAACATCTGAAAGAGTCTGCATTGCCTGGTTTGGTGCCGGCTGAAGAACTGTGGGAATAAAAGGATAAGAGGAACAAGAGATGAAAAGAGGTGGGCAAATAGGATCACTCTTTATCCTTGCACAGTTGACTAAAGTTTTTCCCTCTAAAGCCCAAAGTATCCATGTATACTCTGTACACTATGCTTGCACCTGTGCCTTGAATTTTTTTGTACACAATGGGGCAACACTGGCCCAGCCCGCAGTTTCACAGTCAAAAAAGAAATGAATGAGATGGAACAACAACAACAGTTCACAGTTAATTTATAACAGTTCATTCAGGGGAACAGTATATTTATAACAGTTCTGTTAGGGGAACCTATTAAGGCTTTAATTTTTAATGTAGATGTGGCTGTCACAAGCTGTCAAATGTGGCTTTTCCCATTTTAGTGGAAATTACATACAAAATAATGCTGTGTTTAAGGTCACTTCAGTATTATACTAATAAATAGTTATGTTCCTGACTTCTGATTGGTCAATACATTTTTAAAAAGCATACAAAAATCCACAACACCATAACAACTATGACATCAGACTCTGACTCCACTGCAGATCTCTCATATCATATTGTTAGTGGCTGTATCTGGAAGGACACAACTTTATGAAATTTCTTAACAGAATAATAATAAAAAAAAAAACACTAAGGAGGATACAAATGTTAAAATCAACAAGACACTCAAGGCCGTGCTATATTTTAAATCTGCACTAAGCATTGTGCCTAACAACGACCTTTAGTCATGACTTTACACAATACAGAACGGCCTCTCAGATTCACTGCTCAAAACTTCTGACCTACTACACAACCTACCAAACTTCTGCAGGACCTGCAAATGACTTTCACAAAACTGCCCAGCTTATAAAACCAAGACCAAAAAAACAACAACCTTTTTTAAAAATCTGACACAAGTGCAAAATAAAAAGCGATTTAAAAGAAAGCTGACCCAACTGCAGAGAGCTTCAAATGAAACCCTGTGAATAAAGCCTGACAAAGACACAGACCTGAGTCTAATCCGAAGCTCTTAGCATGGGAGGAATGAAGTCTTCCTTCGCCGCTGCTCACCCGTGACTCACAGCCCTACTAAAAGCACTTCTTCTCTTTTCACACAGCCCAGCCTCTCCCTCAACTCTTTTGAAATATTGAGTCATGAACCCTCCTGTCTCCTGCGGCGTAAAAACCATGAGTCTAGAGATGAGATCAGGTGGTCTCTGCAGTTCCTTAGTGCAGGGTGTGATGTTCTCACAAACGTAATAGCTTATCTGTTGTAATTATGTGATTCAGGACTATTCTTATGCACAAATAAAAACAATACAGGTCTAATGGTACAGAAGTCAGTAGAGTCACATTGTTCAAACAAGGTTCAACCTCACATTCAGATACTATATAATGCCTGTATAAAGGCTGGCCAGTGGCCACATGATTTACTGGGGAATGCAGAGGAGAAGTGAAAGATTACAAACATCATAGGGACAGCCTTTTTTTTTCCTTAAAAAATATTGTATTTGAATATTTGGAATCATAAACAAATATTCAAATATTCCTTTATTTACATGGCGTTTAACGAGAAAGACATTTTTTAATAGTCAAGCTTTTGTCACCATGTCTGAACAAGCTTATGATTAGGCATTAAACAACAATGTTCTACAACAACATTACGTTATATCTCAAGGTTTTCTTTGTATATATATATATAAAGCATTCAAGCTCAAGCAGAGCGGAAAAAAAGCAGTCTGTGCCAGTTACAGTTCAGAACGTACATACACTCGAGTCGGCCTATGCTTATCGTGTTTATATTGTTTCACATGCTAATGTTGATAAAAACGCTTTAAGTGTTCACTCTACATCAGGGTTCCTCAATTAGTTTTCGCCGAGGGCCGAATTCTGCCAACAATACCAAGCCAAGGACCACTGACCTATATATATATATATATATACACAGTATATAATAATTATTATTATTACAATTATTATATTATTGTTGCTTTTGTTAAAATAATCACAAGATGGTCACAAGATGAATATTCAGATTTTTTCCCCAGTAGTCTGTTTTATTCAAACAATTATGAAAATTTTTGCATTTAGATACAGAAGAACTGTTAAAAGAAAAGGCTCAATAAACTAACGCATATATTTAATACACTACGCATCAATATCTCTTCACTTTGTGCTTTGAACTTCTCTAAGCTGCGCGCTGTGACTCCGAGTTGCTTCAAGCGCGTCATTCTGTGCACAGGATGCACATAAGCGATTTGAGCCGCTCTGTATTTGTAGCCTTTAGTATCATAATACTTTGGCGCAATGATATTTAATACACTACGCATCAATATCTCTTCCCTTTGTGCTTTGAACTCTATGCGGAGCGCTGCACACTGCGACTCCGTGTTGCTTCAAGCGCATCATTCTGCGCACGGGATGCACATAAGCGTTTTGTGCCGCTCTGTATTTAAAGCTTAGTATCATAATACTTTTGCGCAATGAAAAATTATTAATAGCCTTTCTTGTTCGTTTTATCTATCATATGTTGCTGCCTCATTACTCTGCTATACATTTAAAATAAATGTCTTTTAATTTATACAGTAGTCAACATTTGAAGTGGATCAAAAAAGTTAATCAAAGTTGTCCTAAGACGAGAACGGGTATTGTTTTGGTTTTAGGACAATTTTGATGTAAGGTTTTGATCCACTTCAAATGTTAACTACTATAGTATATATTTATATATAAATATATTACTTGTTTTTCATGAATGTATTTTACAACAATACAAAGAGCAATGTGTAGGCCTACCAGATTCAGCCCTACACTTATTCACTTTTATTTGTTACCCATTAAATAATGTATTTGTTTTTCATTAAAAGTTTAGGATTTTATAAAATTATTGTGCACTCGTGATTTTTCTAGAGTAGACGTCGTGGCAGGAACAACATACAAAATATGACAGTGATAATCAGGTAATGATTATGTGCTTTATTCAATGTTAAAAGTATCTAATGTGAGTTTGAATATTGTCAAGAAAGGAGGCAGACGATGACTCTTTCTTTAGTTTAATAACGAAAACAATAAAAGAACAGAGGCCCAGATACAAAAGTGCTTCTTGTTAGCATGCTTACGTTACATGCTTTTTTTTCTAGTACCCCAGGCTTCTCTTAAAGACACGTACACAATACTCTGACACCTCCCCCTTTTAAGAATTTGCTATAACTGTCACGGTTTGTCAAGGGAGGACCCAAACGCAGAATGAACAGGGGAAACAGTTTAACAAAATGGGAACACAAGAGGACGAGGCAGGAAGACAGTCCACACAATAGGCCAGAGCACACGACAGGAGAACAGGCAGGTAGGGGATGGGGTAGCTCCTGACTCCGAGGCAAAAGGAGACTAGGTAGCTCCTCAAGGAACCACAGGCTAGGCCTAGAAGATGGTAACACATGAAGCACAAAAATACCTGACAGGTCAGAAGACTCTTCACATCGACCAGGGAGGACTCAGGAAGCAGGGCAGGAACCAACTCGACAAACACACAGACAGGGGAGACAAGGCAACAGGGGAGACAAGAGATAAACACAGATCAAAAGAAAGAACTTGCAAAACAATGACTAGGGAGGATAAACAAGAAATAAAACAAAGGGGAAAAAAAGTAATAAAATAAGTTCTAGAAATATTTAACTGAGACTTATGAAAACAAAGAGGATGACAAAAGAGAAAAAGCTGAGAATAAATGACTAGAACTAATCAAAAGGTTAAGAACTAAAAAATAAAGAACTAAAGGGCCATCTGAGCTTTCATTTTCTCAAAGGCAAAGCAGGATACCCAGGGCTCGGTTTACACCTATCGCCATTTCTAGCCACTGGGGGACCATAGGCAGGCTAGGGGAACTCATATTAATGTTAAAAAACCTCATAAAGTTAAATTTTCATGCCATGGGACCTTTAAACAAAGACAGGACAGACAAGACTGTCAGGGCAGGATCCTGACAATAACCTTTTATGTTACAGGAGAAATTGTATCAAAACATTACAATGAACATATATTTACTCTAAATACATTAGTACAAGACTGTGTTTTAAAGATTCAACTTAAGCTCTCTTAAACCATCACATGTTCCCTAATTTACAGAATTTAATTGCATGCTGACTTACTAGTCGTAATGTTTCTTACATTTACTAACATTTTATTCACTTTCACTTTACTGACTAACCTTGACATTGAACAGTCTGTTAACCACAATTCTTACACTACTTTTAAGACATAATTTATTACAAATTAAGTTTCTCAACTGGTTTACTCACTCTACCAGACCTTGTTACCCTCCATCCTTCACTAGTCTGTGTAGGCATTGAGTCATTTGTTCGAAGAGTGTCCTCATCACACTTTGTTTCTGAGTGCCCTATTGTTTTGGTATCAGCACTGCTCTCAGAAGGACTAAGTTGTAAGTGACGGCGGTTTCGCCTTTTCATTCCCCCTTCCGGGCTACTGATCATGTAGGAGCGCTCCGTTGCACTTTGTCTCACTACCGTCGCTGGAGTCCTCCATCGTTTTACCTCATCCAGCTTAACAAGGACTGAATCTCCTGGCCTCAGCGGAGGTAAGTTTCTCACTCCATGCCTTCTATTAAAATAGAATGCGTGTTGTTGCTTAGCAGCAGCATCTCATCTCCGTATCAGTCTCTGATCCGGCCACTTCCGACTGAGGTTGCGGTCCAGAGTTGGTAATGTATTTCTGAGTCTCCATCCCATCAAAAGCTCTGCTGGGCTCACTCCAGTTGACACATGTGGGGTCGTTCTGTAGCTTAGCAATGCTAATACTGGGTCTTTTTGCCATAGGATGGCTTCTGCTGACTGGACTGCACGTTCTGCATGTCCATTGCTTGAGGGGTGATGCGGGCTTGATGTTACATGCACAAAATCAAACTCACGGCTAAATGACTGGAATGTTTCGCTCGTGAATTGAGGACCATTATCCGAAACGACTATTTCTGGGATGCCGAATCGTGCGAATGTTGCTTTGAGCTTGATG